CTTAAAAAACCCCACGGATTTGAATACTTTAGCACGTTTCAGATTGGCATCCCAAAGAGACAACTACATTAGACATACAGCTTGGGTTTTCCCTCCTGCTTACTGTTTTTCCCTGCTACCCTTTCCAGCAAAGACTTCGATAGAAAAATCTTTTTATTCCTCTATTCTTCTCCAGTGATCTCCAATAGCAGCCAGAAAAGCAAGAGAAAATGTTAAGCATGCAAATCAGATCGCACCAATTTTCTGATTAAAATCCTCTGGCGATTTCTCTTAGGACAAAGTCTGCATTGCTCGTGTGGACCCATGGGCCCTGCAGCACTGTCACTGCCCGCCTTCCTAGCTGCTCTCACCAGTCTTGCTGCCCTTGCCCCAGCTCTACTGCCTTGCTCAAGCTGCTTCCCACCTCATTTTCACATGGCTGTTTCTTCTGCTTGAAATAGTACCCTTAGCCTGGTTGCCTAGCTGACTTCAGGTCTCTGCTTACATGGTACTTCCTTGGGGAAGGGAGGCTGTATGGGAAGCTCTGTGTCCTTTTCCTTCATAGTAGTGCTAAATACTTCTTTGTGTGAGTGTAAGTTTGACACAGTTTGACACCCAACCCCCTGCAAGCTGTCAATGCCTAAATACAGCGTATTTGTAACTCTGTCTCAGGTTGCATTATTCCTGCCTAGCCCAGTGCCTGGCAGCTTGGCAAGTATCAAAAATCAATGATCAGACTAAAGGTTGAATGAGTGAAAACTATATATGAAACTATCTATCCATCTATATGCATACACGCTCATAATCTTGGATGCAAAAAATACGAATTTTAGCTAACATTGACTTATAGGGGCATTTATTTGTTACCTTTGTAGTTTACCCAAGTACAGCAAAAGAGTCATTGACCATCATCAACTTTCAACCTGGAAAGAGATCATGGGTTGTGAATATGGAGCCTGCTGGGACCATGTTCCTGTTGGATGCTTTTAATAATAACTGGGATACGGATGTTGGTGCAGTGTTCATTAAACTGACGGCAAACCAAAGGAATCACTCATACATAAGGTAACATAACCAGTGTCTAAAAGGTCTCAGCGTACAGGTTAGAGAAGAAAATCAAATAACAACACATAACTTCATTTTGTACTTAGAACCCCCAAATCTAATGACACAAAAACAGAAGGAGGGACCCCCAAGAATAAGATCCATAAAAAATATTTAACTGATTGGATGAATTAATAGCATGGTATTCCTGTCAGAGACATTGATTTGTTGTAAGGCTACCCCAATAGGAGCAATCTGTGAAGCACCATTGAAGTCACAGCATTTCTGTAGTCAGACCACCCTCGCCATTCCATGTTTAGTTCTGAGAAGGAAAATTTGCCATTATGGTGCTGTGGAATTCCAAACCATGCAATATAAGGTATAGGCAAATGCCTGGAGATTCTTAACAATGAAGAATCTAATTCAGGATAATATAATGGAACTGTTGAATAAAAGAGTCACCGCATTCTATGTAGGTCCAAAAGGTAGGCCTGGGTCAACAAGGAAATTCCAAGGGATTTGAGGAGCTGTCCAGCAAGGGAGTGGCTTGCACAGTTGTTCTTTACTAAAGTAGATTGTAGTAGCTGAGCTAAGAGGGATAGAAGCATTTTGGGAAGTTTTCGGTGGGTTTATAGAAGGACTGTCAGTGCAATATGGGCCCTTCTTCCTCTGTGCAGGTGCAGAATCTTCTGTAGCTTTGACCTCAGTGTACTTGGAGTGTGAAGGCAGACATGAATGTCCAGTAAAACCAATTATTTTTAAAGATCACATATGTGATGTCTAGGATTCCCTAATTTTACCCTACTGCTCAGAGGCATAATTTTATCTCCTCACTTTTGCCTCACAGCCCAGCTTTAGAAGCAACAGAGCTCGAAGAACATTTGCTGTGGAAGGAAGTCATATACTTTGTAAACACTAGACGGATGTGTAAGTCCCTCATCCCTGGGCTTCTGTGATTTTATCAGAAGACAGAAGTAAGTGTTCTGTAATTAGATGAAATATGGTCAACTATAGGGAAATGCCACAGTGAATCTTCACCTTAATGGAAGACATATAGAGGACAATAAAGATCGTATTTTGGGCCCAGTGCAGTAACCTAGTGGCTAAATCCTCACATTGTATCTGCTGGGATCCCACATGGTTTGTATCCCTGCTGCTCTACTTGCCATCCAGCTCCCTGCTTGTGGCCTGAGAGCGCAGTAGAGGACGACTCAAAATCTTGGGACCCTGCATCCACATGGGAGACCCAGAAGAAGCTTCAGGCTCCTGGCTTCAGATCAACTCAGCTCTGACCATTGTGGCCACTTAGGAAGTGGACCATCAGGTGGAAGATCTTCCTCTTTGTCTCTCCTTCTCTCTATAAATCTGTTTTTCCAATAAAAATTAAAATAAAACAAAAGGAACGAGCCATCCTCTTTTAAGAAAGATCATGTTTTAAAGAATGATTTCTCATAATTATGACAGTCACTAAACATCCCAGCATTCCAACCAACAAGCACTGGATGCTCTTGGCCACAAAGGAGACAGTATGAGTAGGCCAGAGTAAATTCTGCCCCCTAAAGGGAAAAACAGGAAGTGTCTCTTCCTGCTAATATCCCTTACTTTGTAACTCTGTTTTAATCTATATTACAAACATACTTTCTATTGAGAAAAACAATATACCCAGAAAGAGATATGTGCCTGGAAAGAGATAAGTGGTTGATTAAAATTTATTATTCTTTGGTTCTCTTTCTTCTGCCTGGTTTTCACTAAAAATGTACTTTGAAAAGAACAAACATATTATAAATCAGATTGTTCATTAATTTCATGTCAGAGGTAAAGTGCAAATGTTCCTATTAAAACTTTCAGCCAAAGTAAACAGAGGTGATGGCGCTCATCATTAAAGGAGGCAGTTATCACGACATAAAAAATTGTTCATTCCTTGCTATGAAATAATAATCTCTTTGATTAAAAAGTCAGCATTTTCCAAAAGAAATAACTTTACACTAGAATTTGGTTTTGCTTTGTAAGCAAATGACTATAGCCAAAGGAAAACTGACTTGCATTTTCAGACAAAAGGATTTTCAAAATTGGATTTGGGCTTGGCGTTAATCAGCTACCCGTTTACGAACAAATAATGTAACCTGTCTGTGTCTAATTTCCTTGATCTCTCAGTTGAGGATAATCTGAGTAACCCCTACATAGAAAATGTGTAAGTGTACCCAGTATGGCAGAAAGCAAGCACTGGGCTATTAGGAGCCACTGACAGAGCAGCAGTCAAGACATTGTCATTTTGTGGGATGTAGGATTGTGGCTGCTTGGAAGAGTAATTGAAGTGAGCAATTTCAATAGCATTAGCTAGATGCAACAAATGTTCATAGGTAAAAGAATGTGTTCATTTCCATTGCTTCTTTGATCAATATGTTAGTGATGTAAAGAAGTAACATCTGTGTTTGAAAATTACTTGAATGAGGGTAGCCTGGTAAATTTTCATTCAAATTCAGAACTGTTACTGAATGTGTACTAATTTGCCAAAGGCTTTAGCCACTCTGAAAGCAACACAGTTTTGTAAATAGAATTGCTGCTTTCAGGTACCAGGTATAAATGTGCACCAGTCTGTTACACTGGACTACATGATTTAAAGATGCTGACCATGCAGTGGATACTGGATACCACCCCATCTGCTTCTCCGTTGCCCTTGGCTTCCTGAGAGTTACTGATGCACAAGGGCTTTGAGAGCATTTTGCTATTGAAACTCAAACACAAGGATGTGTCAGTGACTACCTAATCTACATGTGTGGCTCTGATGGAATATCCATAGAGGTTAATCAATGGGATTTGTTTCTTGATTTAGCATTTTGGTAGAAATCACTTGGTATTGTCACTAGGAGAATAACAAGAAGCTCTGATTTCTGTTCTCAAGAAAATATCCTTGGCTCCATTCCTCCTGCTACCCCAGGGTCTTCCTTCTGCCTCAGAATTTGAAGGAAGGGGCTTGGTTCTTTGCATTTAGATAATTTGGTGAGTTCATTGTATTTTCATCCCTGTATTACATATAGCTCAAAAATAAATCTTGCATCATTTATTGAATGTGGAACATGCATCTCATTTGAGCTGTGCTTTTTGACAGGTGTTAATTATTTAGTATTTCCATAATACTTTGAGAGTATTTCAGAATAGCTTTTATTAGTAATACAATGGTCAAAACTACAATTTTGATTTTCTCTGGAAAGGCATAAGCTCAAGAAGAGTGGAAAACCACATATATGTATTTGTATTGGCCAAACATGTGTTCTAAATGACAAGGTTGAAAGTCAAGAACTCAGCTGCACCCACACTCAGGCTGCAAGTTGAGCCAGCGAAAGGTTTTGCAGAATTCTGGAACCTGCTCCCACTCCCTGGACGTGTGTGCAAAGACCAAAGAGAAAAAGCTCTGAATCCTGTGGGCTCTTGGAGCATTCCTTCCCTGGGAGGAAAGGCCTGGATGGTTCATGGGGCATTCCACTGCTGGCCAGCCTTAAGAGTCACAGTGTCGGCTAACCAAACCCAGCCCTTAAGTGATCAAGGGCTTGTTGTGACATGTTTGGCTCTAACCAGAGGTCACTGCTTCAAGGGTGACTCACATCTTGGGGTCAAGTGGAGTTGACAGGTGGGATTCACGAGCCAGTCAGACCATTCGCAGTGAAGGGTCTGTAGGCAAAACCCAAGGACACGACTAGGTAGGGTCCAGGCTCGTCCCTTTGGCTCTATGCACGCATCCGGGACAAGAAGTGACAAAGATGCTCCCACTGGGTTTCCATAACCCCGGCAAAGGTGTCAAACCATGAGGCCTCGGCAAATGGTGTGGGTGTGGAGACAGGACATCCTCAGAGTCAGGGCCTCACCTCGGGCTCACCTCACCTATGGACCCTGCACACTTTCTGGCTCAATTCTTGCTCTGGCTGTATTCCCGATGCTCTACCCCTAGGGCCACCATCCCAATTCCCCCCAATCTCTAGACAACCGCGTCTGGGCACTGGGGAGATGTGGGCGGTTTGGACAACCTCGCGGCGCTCAGAGGGCGCGCAGAGGGCGTAGGACCCGGACCGCGGCCGCGGTGGGTGCGCCCTGCCAAGAAGGGCGGGGGACGGGGCGCGCACGCGGAGGAGGAGGAGACGGGCGTGTGAGCGAGTGAGACACAAGAAAAGGGAGCGCGCCCGCCGCCGCCGCCGCCGCCGCCGCCGCCCTCCTCAGGAGAGAGAGAGAGCGCGAGCAAGGCTAGAGTGAGGCTGTGCGAAGCGCCGCATTTCAATGAGCACGGGCCAAGGCGCATCCCTGCACTAGCAGCCACCGCAGCCCAGCCGCCCGCGCTCCCCGCAGCCGCCCCCGCCGCCGCCCCCACCCCAGCCCGACCCCGCAGCCCCGGCCGCGCCCGCCCGGCGAGGACAGCACCAGAAGGCAGCCCCAGCGCGGCCACAAAGACCCGCGGCGGCATCTCTCGGCGGACCGGTGCGTGGTTTTCCTTCCCTGGGGAAAGGGAGCTGCGAGGAGGGCCGTGTGGGGGTCCCCGCGGAGTCCGCTCCGCCGCAGCCGCGGGGCGCGGAGGGCTGGGCCGGCACTCGGGTTGACCGTGGCCGCCACGCCCGCCGTTCCTCGAAAGGCGGCCGCTCTGCTCTGAGCAACCTGGCCCCGGCCGGGGGCGTTTTGCACGGGCGGGCCCCAGTGCTGCCGGCACCTACCTCTTTTGTCTGGTGCCACCGGGCTTTAAACTGGGAGTGGGGCGAGCAGGTCCCCAGGTTTTCCTCAGCCTTGATAGCAGAGAGGGAGAGAGTGGGCGGAGGAGCCGGGAGAGGGGCTTGTCATTGTCAGAACTGACTGTGGAGCAAGGACCAAGTCCGCGCCTTGGAAGGAGTGGCTGGGCCAGGCCTCTTATTGTGTGTGTGCATGGTGTGTGGTGTGGTGTGGTGTGGTGTGGTGTGGTGTGGTGTGGTGTGGTGTGGTGTGGTGCGCTGCTGGTGGTGGTAGTGTGTGTGTGTGCTTTTCCCATGTCCCCGGGAGGGCGGTGTACGCCTGATGATGGGGGTGGGGTGTGGGGAGGAGAACCTAGCGTGGTGGTAGTGGCTGCACTATGGGTGTAGCAAGTGCTCTTGTAGGGTCTCAAGTTCCTTCAGGGATAGCAAGGCTGCCTCATGTACAAATTAGTACCTGCAGTGCTAAAAGCACGCGGAGAGGAAATGGCATTTTCCTCCTAGCGGGAGCACACACACAGCCCCGCATTGCTCCACAAAAGAGGCTGCTTTTGAAAAACCAGGCTTATGTGGAATCGATGGTGGGTTTGGCGAGGAGACGCTGGTCCATGAGAGTGGAGGAAAGCTTTCATTCAAGCAGATTTCCTCTCTGCTGCACCTGTGCCTGTGTGTCCGGTTTACAGAGCACACGCTTCAGCTGCCACACTAAAGGGTGTTCCCGGAATATGCATTATGACTGTTCCTAAATATATCACCTTGCATCGAGAGAGGAAAGTAGGGCAGCATTTTAAGTATGATATGTCACATGCATGCAGGTCAGAAGAGATTGTAAGGAAGACCATATGTAGAAAATGATAAAACAATAATAATAAGCACATGCCCCATGAAGTCTACATCCGTGGTAGTGCATGCATTGGGGAGGTGTATGTGTGTGTGTGTGTGTGTGTGTGTGTGTGTGTGTGTGCTTTTTCTTCCATGCCTGTCCATGCACCTGCATGCCAGGCCTGAGGAATTCCAAGTCCACAGTCTTGGCACATGTTGTAGCTTTTGTGCCACATCCTTTCTTGGTGTGTGAATTTTGTACATTTCTGAAGCAGGAACTCATATGTTCATCTAGAGAAGGATGAACACGGAGATGCCTCAAAATGGTGAGAAATCCCACGGAGAACAATCAAGGATGTCAGCTTCCTGGCAGGGCAGCATTTAGAGGAAAATCAGTGTAAGAGCCAGCCCCTGCTTCTTCCTCTCCTGATGCTGGGGTGGTCAAGGCACTGTGGTTACCCTCTGGGTGCCACAGCACGTGTGTCCCCAATCCCTTAGTCACCTATGTTCTCTGACCACAGTGCTGTGTGTTCAGCAGCTTTCCATGCAGGAAGTGTGAGCCTGAGGATGCCTAAGGATTCTTACTCAGGAATTCATGGTTCACATGTGTGGCTTAGCCAGCTGAATGGCCAACCCAAGGCAAGGGAAAGAGCACCTATTTGGGTGTCACACATAATTACTAGAACACAGCACAGTGTCATGTGATCTCTGACTTTCACTCAGTGCTGGCGGTAGCCATGACAACCATTTTCCTTGATTACACCGTTGCCCACTTTTGGAAAGGCTCAGTGATGGCAAGTAAGAGGTGTAGTTCCTATCATGGATGAATCTATGACCCTGATGGGGAAAGTTGGCACGTAAGTTAAAATTTTCACCTTTACTGTAAATTGGTGAAATTGGTCTCTCTCTCTCTCTCTCTTCCTTTTTTCTTTTTTCATTTGTTATGGATTTTTTGGTCCTAGAAGCCCACTTCCTCTAGGGAATTCAAATAATTGCCAAGTTATTTGGCCTTGTACTCTGGTGACACAACTGTGGTATCCTTTGCTGTGGTTCTGTGTATTTTCTCTTCATTTATGTCAATTTGGGAGGAAACTCTGATTATTGGGTGGAAGAATAATCACAGCCATTAAAAACTAAAATCAAGTTTGGCCTTTACCGTAAGTTTTGCAGAGCTTGGTGAGTTGGCATAGTACTGGCGGTTTCCTCCTCTTCACCTCCTAGACACCCATGTTTTGGGAAACCCAAGCTGTATACATAAGAAAGTAGAAATGGCTGCCCCTAGCATGGATGAAATGCTCATTCTCTTACAAATTGTTGCCCATAGAATCGGATATCAACTCTCATTGTTTTAAAGTTACTTCAGAATCAGTGAAACCAGTTCATAGCTATCTATACTTGGTGTTTTGGAGGAATACAAATTTAGGTATAAAGGGGATGTCAGATTTGGACTTCGCTTGAGTCATTCGCTTGAGTTTAAGTCACTTCCATCTCTACCCCAGCTATCTTAGCTCAGTTAGCAACAGAATCATGAGCTCATGAGGATCTTAAGAGGCCTGGTTGATCGGTAAGGGATCTGTTCAAGACTGTTGAGCTCCTTTGGAAGGAGTACTTGAAAAACTCTTCTTTGTGGGCCAGCAAGAGGCTGTTCTCAATTGTGCATAGGGATGAAAAGCAATGAATCTTTGCTGAAGTCCCAATTCCTTCAGCTGCAACTTTGGTTCCCTGGGTAAATCCCACACTCACTCCCAGTTTCCATACTCTTCCCTACCTGGTTGGGTTATTCTGAGGTTAGGAGCAGACTTTAGTATATTATACAACTCATTGCTGAGTGTCAGGAGGATTCTTCAGAAAGTTTGTAGCAAAGCACAGTATAAAGAATTATGCATGAATTTTTGAAAATGCACCAAAATAAATATACTTCAATATCACTTTCCACAGACTTTTAAAAGTTCTACAGTAGTGTCAGGTACATATTGCATAAATATTGCCTTCTTCCTCTTTACTCATTTTGGGAGCATCAGATCTCCAGCTGTGTTTTGAGCAAGAACATGGTGTCTCTCTGAATGAATCAGAGGTTAGTTTACCGAGGGTCAGAGAAGGGCCAGGAAGACTGAATGGCACTTGTAGTGAGCCTTGGTGACCTTGAAAGAGGCGATGTCATCTATGTGGTGCAACATGAAAAGTACTTGGAAGGTTCTTGTCTCACATTTTCCATTTCCCATATATTCCACTACAATGTAAATGGGATCTTGTTATTAAAGTTTCCTTCCTTTGAATACTGAAGTTTTGTCATCTTTAAAATTTGATCCCTCTGCAAGTGGTAATACCATGAGCCTTTATCAACCAACCTCTTAGCAAGGCTGAATTAATCCCACGGGTAGCTCACTGAAAACAAAGTCCCATAGAAAGTAAAATGCATTGGGAGGGGAGTGGGGGTTGCAGGTGTGCCTTTGAGAAGGCCAAGAAATGGAGATCCAGGCTTACCAAGCCCCTCCCTCGCCAGAAAGGGGAGATTCTCTTCCAATTAGTGCTGTTTGTTCTGGTATCAGAAACAACAACAAAAAGACTTTGTTAGTAAAATATGAACTTACTGAATGCTAGACACTATCCTAAATGTTCCAACGCATTGACTTATGCAACAGTCGGAAGTAACTGTGAGATAGGTACCATTCTTGCCTATTTTGTGGTTGAGGACATTGAGGACCAAAAATATCTATCAAGTAGACTTCTCAAAGTCATCTAGGTCAAGTCTGAATCAGCAGTGTCGGGTCTCAATCAAGCCCCCAGAGAAATTATTTTTTTTCAACTGGTGTTGCTGTTGTTTTTCCTCTCCTTTCTCACCACCTTTCCCTCTTCCTCCCCCTCCCTTTGTATTTTTTTGGCCCAATTATCTGAAGCTCTAAATGTAAGTTAATGAGCTTTGGTGACTCTGCTTTTGAATATGTGAATACACTGGAAAATCTTCCTGAAGTTAGAAGAACCTACAAACTGCTTTAATTTGTTCTCCATCTGTCCAAGGGGAACACAAATACTATTTAACACTTTTAGGATCTGACTGCTAAGCGCTGCTTGTCCCCTTGCTCCCCTGGTCTGCCAGGGCCACTTACCTTTAGCTGTATGGTGCTACCAGGACCCATGGTCCACCCCTTAGCAGGATGAGCATACGGTCCTCATTGGGGTCAGGTTGGGGTCAGGCACACCTGCAGTAAAGCTCCTGGCACGAGCATTTCTTAGCTGTATTACTTGGGAGAAATCTTTCAATGCCTCAGTTTCTTCATCTGTAAATAGGGGTGGTAATCGTTTGAAACATTATTTTGGCCATTGGAAATAGATGTTTGAAGCATGGAAGTTGCATGCAGTCAATATCTGGGAACTAATTCTACCAAAATCATGGTTTATAACGATCAGTTATTTCTGCAGAAATCTGCCTCTTTTGTTTTCTGGTTCTCTTCTTTCTAACTCACACTAAGTACAAGTATACCTCCAAACGTTTGTTGAAAATGAAATTAAAATAATCCAGTTTGCTGCCAAAATATATGAAATACACCCATATTTTTATTTTTTCAAAATATACACTTTCCCTATATTATGAAAAAATATTTTACACCAAAATAAAT